GACAGAACTTTAACCCAGTTCAATGAATTGTGCGTATCTTGTTGATATGTTTACTGAGGGAGCTATTTGTTGATTATACAAAAGAAATATAAAATGTAGCTCCTGATCTTAGAGATTTACAATCGGGTTAGGGGAGAAAAGAGTATCATATGTCATACTGGCCAGGGTTCTTAGTTGCAGACAACAGAAGCCACTCCAGCTAGAGGGATTTGTTTACACAGGGCATTAAGGACCTTACAGAGTTCCAAGGGGATAGAAACGCCCAACTGCACTACTACATTGGAACCCCTATCACCACTACTTGGCTCCTAAAATGCCAGGGACCTGATAATACAGCCACAGCACAGCTGTCCCAGAAGAACCAAACACATCCACCACCATGTCCTCAGAAGACTTTCCATGTGTGACCACCACCTCACTTTCACCACGTCCAGCTTGGTGGAACCTAGTCCAACCTGCAAGGGAATCTGGGAAATGCAGTTTTCAGCTTTCCAGACTCTGGTACAGGAGTAAGTCAGTCTATAGAATCTGCCATGAAAATCGTGATCCACATGCATGTATTGAGGTTTTACTCTGTGAAGTGGGCTCTAGGGATGCAAAAAGGTCTCAGGTGTGATCTCTGCCTTCAATGAGTCAAGACGGGCAGAGAACAAAGGTTACATCTTCAATCTTATATACCAAATGTGTGCTGAGTGCCACTGAGTGACATAGTCATAAATGCTGTAGAAGCACAGCCAGAGGACGGACTCTGTGGGCCGTGGAGGGCAGCAGTGGTTTCCGAGCAGAGGTGCAGCCTAAAATGGACCTTGAAGAATGACTGGGCCTTAGATTCATGCCAAGGAGGAGAAAGCTGCCAGTGTGGTAAGCCTGCAATAGTTCTCCCTCTTACATTTGCTTGTGTGTGACCTTGGGCAAATCACTTCCCATCTCTAGGATGGTGGTAGACAGAATAGTGGCCCCTCAAATATGTCTATGTCCTATCCCCAAAACCTGTGAATATGTTACCTGACCTGGCAAAGGGACTTTGCCGATATGATTGAGTTAAAGATCTCGAGATGGAGGGATTATCTCAGCCCAGTGTAATCACCAAACCACCAGTTGCTTTCAAACTGATTCTGACTCATAGCAATACCATGAGTGTCACAGTAGAACTGTGCTTCAGAGGGTTTTCAATGGCTGATTTTTTGAAAGTAGATGGCCAGGCCTTTCTTCCAAAGTGCCTCTGGGTGGACTTGAACCTCCAACCTTTCAGTTAACAGCCAAGCTTGTTAACCATTTGCACCACCCTGGGACTCCTTTGGTAGACAGCCAAAACCCATTGCCATCAAGTCGATTCTGACTCACAGCGACCCTGTGTGACAGAGTAGAGCTGCCCCACAGGGTTCCCAAGGAGCAGCTGGTGGATTCAAATGGTGGACCTTTTGGTTAGCAGCTGAGTTCTTAACCACTGTGCCACTAAGGGTTCTTTAGGTAGACAGGGAGGGAATAAATAATCTCCTTTATCCCATCCTGCTATCTCCTCCTGGTGTTTCCCATTGATGGAACCCAACTAGAAGGTAGAGGGCAGGGAGTCCACAGATGTGGGTCAGCTTCTGTGGCACAGATCAGGGTGGAGAAGAATGGAGAGTATCTGAAGAGGAAACCAGAACAGCCAGCATAGATGCCTAGTTCGTTAAACCACCAGGATTTCCAGGATGACCGTCTCATTAATTACATATGCTCCAGTTATCTATTGCTGTATAACAAATGACCCCAAA